GGTTTAAGAGCTCGTCCCACTTCACACTGTGGGTAGGTGGGGATGCTGTTTAATTTAGGTAAGGTTCCAGAGCCCATGCATTTCGCTCTGGGCCTACTCCCTCACACCTGTGTGAGAGGCTGTCTTGAGGAGGAAAGTAGTAACGTTTTGAAAGGAAAACTTGAACCAGTGGTGGAGCTTCAGGGAGGCAGATGTACAACCAACCTGAGGGAAAGAATGTCCTGACATCTAGAGCTGTCTGAAGGTGCAAGGGCCCCTGAAGAAGGTTGCAGGACCCTCAGAGTCGCAGAATTCAAGCAGAGGCGTGGGCTCCTGCATTTAGAGGGAGACCAGGCCTGTCAGCCAGCCTGTGGGATGAAAGTCGAGGTCCCAAAGGGCCAGGCCCACAGAGGTTGGTCAGGCCTCTAATGAGGGCACGGTCTTCCCAGGCCCCTTCTAGGAAGATGTGTGCTGCTCACACATGGGCTACGTCAGCTGCCCCCACAGGAGAATTCCAGTCACTACTACGGGAGCCCAGTGAATATCTGGGCAAAGATGTTAACTCCCTACTGCCCTCTCTGGTGAGGCAAGTCCTGAAACAGAAAAGGGAGTAGGAAACGGAGGGCAATGGGGACAAAGAAGGAGACAGCCATGGGAACTGTAGGGGGAGGGCGTGGGGCCCCTAAGTGAGGCTCAGGAGGAGTCAGAGAGACCATGGGTCATCTCGGGCTGAGATGGGCAGCCCCACCAGCCTGTCACCTAAGGCACTCAGTCAGCATTTTGCCACGTGGTGGCAGACGTTACCGGAGCAGAAGCATCTGGATCTTGGGCTCTGGAGTCAGAAGGGCTGAGTTGAACTCCAGTTCTGCTATGGGACCGCCAGCAAGACCCTTAACTTCTGGTTTCCTCGGTTGCAAAAGGGGTCCTGTGAAAGGACGATGGCGAGTGTTCAAGAATGTTTGCCACAGGCTTATCACGAGGCCTGCCTCCTACCAAGCAATCACTGAAGCCAGCTGTATTGTTATTACTCTTCTGAGTTCAAGACTTTCAAAAGCTTATTCCGTAATGCCTATTATCCAAACACATTCCAACTCTTCAACTCATTTCTAGATTCAGGGAATGGGAAATGATTTCTAGTCAGAGAACATTCTGGAAAGTACTTTGGGACACAGTCTTCTTGGACCCAGCTGAGATCCTTCATCTGTAAAATGGGCATGATAACAGGACGTACCTCATACAGTGGCTGGGATTAAAGAAAATAATGCGTATTTTAGCGCAGTGCCTATCTCATAGGAAATCCTCAAAAATATTAGTCTCTATTATTTTAAGTAATCACATCATCATCACCGTAGTCTCTTTTTAAATTTTGGAGCATGAAATCAGGTTTTTCTTTTTAATTTTAGTATCAAGAATCGTCTAGCTTTTGGTTTATTCACTGCTTACCATTTTTCCCCAAAGAAACAACCTCATCAGAATTTTGTTGGTTGATTAATAGATCTTTATTGAGGGTCCATTTGACACTGATCCAGCGCACTGCTCTGGCGCTGTGGCCTCTCTCCTACCCTCAGAGGGTGGTTCAGGTACGGCTCCTCAGTTAGGTTATGGTTCTCACAGGCTTGAACACGGTGTGTCTTCATGGGGATGAGTTAGCCCCCAGGCAAGATCTGGAGCCATTTTTGTTTGTCGCAACAGAGGTGAGGTTGCTGCTGGCATCTCATAGATGAAGGTCCAGGATGCTGTTAAGCATCCTAGAGTGCACAGGACAGCCCCCACGACAGAGACGTATCTAACCCAAAATGTCAACAGCATCGGGGCTGAGAAGCTGCGGTCTGTCTACCCTTCCTGCTGTCTCTGCTTGAGAAACGCCAAGCGGACCAGGCTTGATGACTCTCTGGTCTGTCGCTCCAGGAAGTGTTTTTGAGAAAAGCAAGTTGTGGGGACTTGCACAGCTTTTCTTAGCAAAGGACAAAATGACAGAGAGCCAAAGCACTAATAGCACTCCCTCCCTCCGACGGGGGCACCCCTCCAGCTCACACGCCCTAGCAGGAGTGTGCGCACCGCCTCAGCCAGAGCGACATTTTCAGTTCAAATCCAACCTGCTAAGAAATCCACGGAACATGAGCACGGAGGACTGTTTGCCCAGGACTAGAGGGGGAAGGGACTGTGTCTGGGGGCTGACGATGCTGAACCTTCACCCCTCCTGGCAGTGTTTGCTGGCCAGAAAGCAGAGCCAGCTGTACTTGGACAGCACTTTACACAAACAGACAACACACACTGTTATCTCCTAAATTGGAGGCTTTCTGCAATGTCTTCTCCTGTGGGCACTGGACTCAGGCAGGAAGACCACCCACAGGCAAGCACACAGCACCTCCCAGGGAGGCCCTGTAATCACCCTCCGCTCTCGCCACCTGTTCTGGGCGGGTTATCAGATGGGAAGGAGCCAGTTAATCACCGTTTATAAGCTATAAATGGAAATGGCCATGGCAGGGAGCTGATAAACATTTTGGGGGCAAATTATTTGTGTAGCTGACTGTCATTTGCACCCCTCTCAACTGCTTGAAAGTATGCGTTTCAGGTTACAGGATGTCCAAATGGCTGTTTGTGGTGGGGGGAGAGGATGGGGGCCTATTGAAGTGCCGTGTCTGTAGTCCCGATCCAGGCCACAGACAATGACAACAGCCCTGGACCTTTTCAGCCTTCCTGGGTATCAGATCTTTTTCCTTAACTCTGCTTGGGAGTGAAAAGGAAATTCCAAAGCTAGAACTCCCTAAAGTGTCCCGTGCACTTTGGAATCTCAAATCCCAATTTGGGGTTGAAATGCACAGACAGAGTTGTTTAAAAAGTGAGCTTTTACAAGCTCCATTAGTTTGAGTTGGGATTTTTTTTTTTTCTGCTAAAAGGAAGTGAGGATGGCCAGGCTGCATTTAAACTGACAGCTGCCAGTCTGAGGCAACTGCAGACCCCAGAGAGCTTGTGGGCCTGGCACAAAAGAGACAATTCAGCAACCACTGTGGTTGCAGAGGGGTGGCTGTCCCGCTCGGCTCAGCTCGGCAGCTACTGGAAAGGCTAAAGGGGGAGCCTCATAAACAAGAGTGTGCCAGGAGCAGGGAGGGGGGCCCTGCACATTTAAATAACAAAACTGACAGCTTTCACCTGGGCGTGGCTGGTGGGCAAAGGCGACTGGCCCAGCCTGATTTCTGCCTTTATCTTCCCAGGGAAGCCAAGGCTGGGAAGTGGGTGTGACCAGATTTCCAGGGGCTCTGATCACTAGCGCGGGGCCTGAGGATGGCTCATTTCAGGCCTTGCGAGGTACAGGAAGGGTGCCAGGAGGTGCCTCTCCGCTCTTACCAGGCTGTGGGGTCTTCAGCAAGCATCTTATCTTCTCTGCACCCACATCCTTATCTGCTACAAGGGAGGCCGGGGTTGAAGGCACTGCTGGAAGCTACAGAAGTCTGACCAGAAACCGGCCTCGGGGAATTCACAACCGGGCTGCAGAGAAGACCTTCCACGGACTAGATCGTCAACCTCTCAAGGCCATGGGGAATTGGCAGCAGAGCCCTGGAGAATACATATGGCCAGCATTGGTCAAGGGACAGACAAGGCCCTGGAGAGCGGGAAGACTTCAATGAGGAGAGCTGATTTGAATTGGCCACAAGGGTGATCAAGTCAGTGGGGACTGGGACCAAGAGAGGGAACTCCACAGCCAGAGGCGCGGCAGAGGGTGTCCACGGCGGCTTTCAAAGAGACAGTCAGCTTATCTGTCCCCAGGGAGCTAACATTAGGGAGGCAGGTTATGGCCGGATTGGGAAGGGCTTATGTCCTGGAGAAGAGGTCAGTGTTTCTTTGAACTCCTGAGCAGGAAGGACTGGCAGGTGGGTCTGGTGAAAAGGTCAGATACCTTGAACAGGTGAGATGCCTGAAGGAGAGGCAGGTGCCAGTCCAGGCGTACAGGGTGGGCAGCTCAGAGGCCCCTGGAATGGAGAGAGGGAGGGAAAAGACCCTGGAGAAAGGGTGCCATGGACTTGGTGAGGAGAATCAGCAAGACCAGGGCTGGAGGCGAGGCGGAGTCTGAGCCACCGGGAAAGTGAAATACCTCTGCCAGAAACTAGCGAGTCCTGAAGAGGGAAAGGAAGCTTTGTTTCCTACACTCGGAATTTGGGGGCAAAGCATCCAAGGAGAAACAGCCAACAAGAAGTTGGAAATATAGAAATGGAGTTAGAAAGGGTGTCTTTGCCTCTCTGTGTCCTTAACTAGGTTGAGAGCACTTTGAGGACAGCACTAGTGTCCCAGAATAGAGTGGACATTATATTGAGTGACAACTATGTAATGAATCATTAGCTATGATCTTCTGAAGACATACTCTTGTCAGGCCACAGCCCTGCAAAAGTAGGGTTATGATTATTGTCACACCCAATTTTCCGAAACTGAGGTTCAGAGAAGTAAACAATTTTATCCCAGGTCACACAGCTTGTAAATGGCTTAATTGGTCCAGCTGATCTAAACGGCCAGCTTCTCCCATTCTCCCTCACGTCCTCCGTGACTTCCTAAAGTAGGAATTCTCTCATGGGAAGCTTTTGCTTCTCTACAACTAATACACTACCTTGGGCACAGTGGCCAGGTTTGTAATGTGTTAAATATTAGTTTTTCTTTCTGCTACCAACTTCTTACAAATAAATATCAAAATTTTATCAGTCTACGACTTTAAAAATAAAAGAAAAACAAGAAGAAAAAATCTTGGCCTCCTTTTCTTAAAAGCATACAGATTAGAGACATCAAATTAATCACAATTTTTTGCTTAAAAATTATATTCTATTTTATTTGGCAAAGCAAAGAGAATTTCTGAGAGGGAAAGGAGAAAATATAAATTTATTCCTTGTCTTTTTTTTTTTTTTTTTTGCTTGAGGAAGATTGTCCTTGAGGTAACATGTGTGCCAGACTTCTTCTACTTTGTATGTGGCACAGCATGGCCTGATGAGTGGTGTGCAGGTCCACGCCAGGGATCTGAACCGCAAACCCTGAGCCACCAAGGCAGAGCACACGAAATTAAACACTATGCCACCAGGCCGGTCCCGCTTGTCTTTATTACAAAATATTTATCTAGAAATTGTGTTAATAGAATTATTTGACAAAACATTAACAATTATCTAAAAGTAAAACATACGCCTCTCTTCCAGGTAGCTCTCAGGCCAAATTCATCCACATACATGTTTAAATATCATTTACATATTTGGGGAAGGAAAGCACACAGATTCTGCGAGGTCTCGCGGTAACTCGAAGTTAGGACTTAAGATCAGTGTGCACCGCTTCTACTTTTAAAGCTGTGCCCGAGCCAGCTGCCTCCCGTGTATTTCCAGGGCAGATGATCGAATCCAGCTATGGCGATTAACCAGCTATGGCGATTAACACGGTATTGGAGTTTTTGCCAGATTCTGGCTCTGAAGGGAATTTCTTCCCGGGGCATTTTGGCGGGAACCTTGCGTTGTTCTCACCTTCATCTGGAGCAGCCAGCGGCCCCCTCTGTGGTGTAATCCGTCTGCCTCAGCCTTCATGCCCTCTTCTTTCATTTAAATCACGAGAAGTGATCTCAGACTGAAAGAGAAAATAGTATATGAGGGCATGTAACGTGCACCTTCGCTCCTGAGGAGCTGTTCCTTCCTTCAGAATCACCTGGCTGGCAAGAAAGGGACAGCCTTCATCAACTTACTGGAGAACTGGCATTATTTGTCACAGGAACTTCTGTTCACCAGAGAGAAACCCTAGGAAAAGTTGCCCATTGCTGGCTTGTTGAGGCCATTGTTTCTATATTAATGATCCTTTTACTCCATGAGCCCAACATAAAATTCAATATGTCCACAGAGGTCTAAAGCAAATTAGGCAAAGCCTAAAGAAATAGAAAGACATTACTTTTCCACTTTGTTTTCTTCCTTTCTTTCTTTTGAGGAAGATTGGCCCTGAGCTAAGATCTTTTCCATGTAATTGTTACAGATTGGGCTTTATGCCTCTGAGGGCCAGGAAGAAAAAAACAAAAAAAACAAGAAGAAAAACAATGAAAAATGTTGGTTTGGATAACAAATAACTCAGTAAGAAAGTTGTGGGACCTCATTTTTTTCCCAGGCTTAATATCTAGCTATAGTAGCCAGTTGTAAGAAGTACTATGCACTATTCCTTGGATGAAGAAAAATTGATGATTGATTTTGTTGCTGAAATCTACTTTCCCATCCTCAATCCCAGAATGATGGCGAAACTAAAAAACTGAGCATGTGCGGGCCAACATCCCCACACTGCCCTCTGGTGGTGGCCTGCTTCTTGGCATCTTTGCATTGATAGTAGGGGTCGGGCAGCTGGGCACCCCTGGGGCTGTCCAGGTCTGATGGCCAAGAAGAAAGAGGTCACTGCAAATATTTTGTAGTCTCGCCTCTTTGTGTGCACCTCACCTTTATCACACGGCTTGGGTTTTAGTCATTTCCTGTCCACCTCCCCACTGGCCTGCTAGCTACTTGTGGACAAGACCATGTCATCTTCATCTTGTGCACCCAGTGCCCACACTTCACAAGTGCCCAGTGCCTGTTGAGTGTGTGACAAGTGTGTGAAGAAAGGGATGCCTTATTGAAGCAGAGTGTGGCTGAGTGATTGTTCCCAATTCCTCCAAAATAAGGGAGCTGTGCGGTTCTTGGATCGTGTTTGTTACGCACCCACAGCTGAGCTGGAGCTCGGGCAGCTGCTCACCGGGGACCTGGAGCTCAGGCACCTGCACACTGGATCCACTTTAGATGCAGCCCTGCCGTGGGAGTCTGGCTGGCTGCTGGCATCTGTCTCCATCGCTGATGTGCCTGCCAGCGGTGCTCAGACGCAGCATTTGGAAAAGCATTTGGAAGCGAGTATCCTCTCCTCATTTCAAATGCAGGCGTCCTGGAACATGATGGGGGAAAGAAAGAAGAATGAGGAGCAACTGTTTGACCTCTGCGGCTTCCTGTGCTTCCTGAGGAAATAACTTAGTCTACTTATTTTTCTTCCAAACCTCTTCTTGCCTGTGGGCAAATCACTTCACAGGGCCTCCTCTGTGAAATGAGAGCATTGATTACCTAGAACTTCCCAGTTCAGACATTCCTTGACCCTAAATCTAGTCTCTTATAAATTAATTTTTATCTTATTTGAATTCATTAAAATTTTAAAAGGTGGTGGTAATTTTGACATGTTCATCTCTCTGCAGAGAGACCCCTGCTCTGCCCTGCTCATTCCTTGTCCCCATCAGCATCTCTAACTAGCCAGTCCTTGACACTGGAGATGGCCTTTGTAAAGATGGGATTCCAGTTTTAGACCTTTTAAAAAAATATATTCATATTAACATTGTTCATAATTGCTCAAAACTGAAACCAACCTGGGTGTTCATTTAGGTGTGGTCATATTCTGGATTTCTACACAGCAATGAATAGGAATGAGCTATAGCTATATACGTGAAATGTGTGGAGTGATAACATGCCTGCCCAAACACCTGTGATTAGGGGGCTAAACAAAACATACAGCCAAGAGAAAATATGGGAAACACTTTGCATTTTAGATTTCCATTTTTTCTTAAATGGGAAATTTTAAAGAAGCACCTGCAAGACAAACCTTAATTGATATCTCAAGGCAGAGTTTCTCAGAGGGTGATTGCAAAGCCCATCAGAATCGTCTGGGGAATTTGTTGAAAATGAAGACGCCGAGCCCTCCGGGCTGTACCGCATCAGAATCACCGGGCGGCACGGGGAGAATTTTAATGAAGCCCCCACTGATTCGCATGCATGGTAAACTCTGAGAAACGTGTTCTAAAGTTTGGTTAAATCCTGAGGAGGGCGGTTCTTTGTCAGTCTTGCGGGTTTCTTACTGTCGGAAACCTCGCGAGCGCCCCTGACAGTCCAGGGGAGAACTGAGCCCAGCCGCATCCGTGCCTCCGCGGTCTCCAGGCTGTTCGAGAATCTGTGAAGAGCAGTCCACCAGAGAGAGCGCCAAACAGCCCAAGACCCCTGAGGAGAGTTTAGCCAAGATTTCGAGGTCAGAGAGAGGCCAGAATGCCATTCTTTCTTTAAGAAAAAGCCGAAGGCCCGGGGAGGTGGCAGCGTATTTGTGATGAGTTCAGTGGGTGCTGAGCAAAAGACTAACAACAAGCAGCAAGCTTAGCTGGGGGGTTCTTGCCCTTTGCAGACAACTTTCAACTCAGTCTGAAAGCTAACCTTCGAGTCTCTATTTTATTCTAAGTCATGTCATCAGCTATGAGAAATAGTCCTGTTGGTTGGAGGAAATACTTAAGGAAAAGCTTCTTCAGTCTCTGCCAGGCGAGCACTGTCGTGGGGAAACTCAATGCAAGGTCTGTTGCATCCACCGAATATCAACATGGGAGATCACTGGTTCATCCTTTCAGAAATGGAGACATCTTTTGGATCGAGATCATAAAATGAGGGACCAGGTCTTTAGGCCAATGATAGGGCATAAACTTGGTAACTGTAGACAAAGGGAAAATATCAACTTTATTTCCTCTGCAGTCTCTATGGTTTTGGTGTACAGACCCACCTTTTTTTTTATTATAACAGAAATAAGATTCATTTCAGGATATCTCTCTGAGTTTGATGCACTGATGGATTGAGTTTCCTTTGGTTACTGTACATCACAGTATCTGCAAGAACACTCTTCATAGCAGTTAAGAGTGTGGATTCTGGAGCCCACTGACTGAGTTCCAGACCCAGCTCCTCTACTTATAAGCTGGGTGACCCAGGTTGGGTGACCAACCATCCTGGTTTGCCGGGGACTGAGAGGTTGCCCCGGATTTGAGACTTTCAGTGCTGAAACCAGGAAAGTCCTGGGAAAACTGGTCCATATTGGCCCTCCTTGACCTGGAGTAAGTTATGCACCTTCCCAGGCCTCAGTTTCCTCTTTGTGGAGTGGGGGTACTAGGGTAGGAGCAGACCCCATGGAGCTAATCGTACTCAGAACTGTGCTGGCCCACAGTGAGCACCGAGGTGTTTGGCGTCACTTTTACATTAGAAATGGCCCGCTTCACCTCCTCACGCTGCAGATAGGCATCGAAGAGCTAATGTGGGTGCCCACAGATCCAGATGGGAACACACACTGGGGCCTCCCTTGTGGACATTGGAAAGAGTCCACTGGAAACCTCCTTCTGTGTGGTTGCCCAGTTGAGATGCTTGCAAAACAGGTACTACCTTGGAGATGCTGCAGGTTTGGTTCCAAACCACCACAATAAAGTAAATATCCCAATAAGCAGAATCACATGAAGTTTTTGGTTTCCCAGGGCATAAAGAAGTTTTGTTTACACTATACTGCAGTCTATTAAGTGTGCAAATAGCATCACGTCAAAAAAAAGTAGTTAATTAAATTAATTAATTTAAATGATTAAAAAATACTTAATTGCTAAAAAATGCTAAGCATCATGTGAGCCTTCAGTGAGTCATAATGTTTTTGCTGGTGGAGGTCTTGACTCGATGTTGACGGCTGCCGACTGATCAGGGTGGTGGTTGCTGAAGGTTGAGGTGGCTGTGGCAATTTCTTAAAATATGCTAACAATGAAGCTTGCTGCACTGGTTGACACTTCCTTTCATGAACAATTTCTTTGTAGCATGCGATGTTGATTGATAGCATTTTACCCACAGTAGAACTTCTTTCCAAACTAGAGTCAGTCCTCTCAAACCTGCCGCTGCTTTATCAACTAAAGTTTATGTAACTAACATTCTAAACCCTTTGTCTTCATTTCAATAGTCTTCACAGCATCTTCACCAAGAGTAGTTTCCATCTCAAGAAACCAATTTCTTTGCTTATCCATAAGAACCAACTCTTCATCTGTTAATGCTTTATCATGAGATGGCAGCAATTCGGCCACATCTTCAGGCTCCAATTCTAATTCTAGTTCTATTGCTCTTTCTACCATGTCTGTAGTTACTTCCTCCACTGAAGTCTTGAACTCGTCAAAGTCATCCATGAGTGTTGGAATCAACTTCTTCCAAACTCCTGTTAATATTGATATTTTGACCTCTTCCTATAAATCACCAATGTTCTTAATGGCATCTAAAATGCTGAGTCCTTTCCAGAATGTTTTTAATTGACTTTGCCCAGATCCATCAGAGGAATCACCATCTATGGCACCTATAGCCTATGAAATGTATTTCTTAAATAACAAGAATTGAAAGTCAAAATTACTCCTTGATCCACGGGCTGCAGAATGGATGTTGTGTTAGGCATGAAAACAACATTAATCTTATTGTGCATCTTCATCAGAGCTCTTGGGTGACCAGGTGCATTGTCAATAAGCAGTAATATCTTAAAAGGAATATTTTATTCTGAGCACTAGGTCTCAACAGTAGGCTTAAAACATTCAGTAAACCATGTTGTAAACAGATGTGCTGTCATCCTGGCTTTGTGGTTCCATGTATAGAGCACAGGCAGAGTAGATTTACCATAATTCTTAAGGATCCTTGGACTTTCAAAATGGTAAATGAGCATTGGCTTCAACTCGAAGTCATCAGCTGCATTAGCCCCGAACAAGAGAGTCAGCCTGTCCTTTGAAGCTTTGAAGCCAGTCATTGACTTCTCCTCTCCAGCTATGAAAGTCCTAGAAGGCATCTTCTTTCAATATAAAGCTGTTGTGTCTACATGGAAAATCTGTTCAGTGTGGCCACCTTCATTAATGATCTTGGCTAGATCTTCTGGAGAACTTGCTGCAGCTTCTACATCAGCACTTGCTGCTTCACCCTGCACTTTTATATTATGGAGATGGCTTCTTTCCTTAAACCTCATGAACCAACCTCTGCCAGCTTCAAACTTTTCTTCTGCAGCTTCTTCACCTCTCTCAGCTTCACAGAGTTGAAGAGAGTGAGGGCCTTGCTCTGGATTAGGCTTTGGCCGAAGGGAATGTTGTGGCTGGTTTGACCTTCTATCCAGACCACTAAAACTTTCTCCATATCAGCAGTAAGGCTGTTTCACTTTCTTATTATTCATGTGCTCACTGGACTAGCACTTTGAATTTCCTTCAAGAACTTTTCCTTTGCATTCACAACTTAGGTAACTGCTTGGTGCAAGAGGCCTAGCCTGGCTTTCAACATGCCTTCCTCACTAAGCTTGATCATTCCTAGCTTTTGATTTAAAGTAAGAGACGTGTGACTCTTCTTTTCACTTGAACACTTAGCAGTCGCGGTGGAGTTATTAACTCGCCTAATTTCAGGGAACAGGGAGGCCGAGAGAAGGGGGAACAGCTGGTCAGTGGAGCAGTCAGAACACGCACAACATTTATTGATTAAGTTTGCCGTCTTATATAGGCACAGTTTGTGGCACCACAAAACAACTACAATAGTAACATCAAAGATCACTGATCACAGATCATCATGACAAATACAATAATATGGAAAAAGTTTGGAATATTGTAAGAACTGCCAAAATGTGATGCAGGGACACAGGGCGAGAAAACGCTGTTGGAAAAATAACGCTGATAGACACGCTCAATGCGCGGTCGCCACAAACCTGCCATCTGTGACAAATGCAGTATCTGTGAAGTGCAGTAAAGGGAGAGATGCGTGTATCTGGCATCTCCCATGCAGTGATGGTGGTGACATTTGGGGCCTGAACGTCCTCTAACCTTCTCTGGGGACTGTGGGTCCGCCTCCTGGTAGGGTAGGGTGACCACAGACTTGCCTGTGAGCCCCAGAAAGGGAGGCCAAGGCTGGTTTCCACGAACCAGGTAAGATGGCCACTGTCCCTGGATGTGGACTGAGACAGAGGAGTGGAGCCCGAGTGGGGTGGGGCTGGGGAAGGGGACGTCCTTCCTGCACACAGCTAGCGAGTGCCTGTGTGTGCATGCAGTGTTCCAGGCAGCTGCCTGTGGCGTTTACAGACTAATAACCAGAAACATCCACAGGAAAATATCAGAGCAATGAGAGAGATTCATGACGGCTAATGCTATTGAGCGTCGGCTCTGGGTCTGGGGCTGCTCCAAATGCTTGATATGTATTATCTCACTGAATCCTCACAGTAACTTATCTCATAGTAAACTAACTAAACTAACTCATATTAAATGAGTTAATACATTATGAATAATTATTACCCTCATTTTATAAATGAGAAGCCTGAAGCACAGAGATGAGAGCCAGAACCACACTCCCACACCCACACTCTTGACCACTACCCTACACCGCTTCTCTAGAACAGTGGATCTCAACAGGGGAAATTTTGCCCCCAGGGGACATTTGGAATTGTCTGCAGACACTTTTGGTTGTGACAGCTGGGAAGGTACGACTGGCTTCTCTCCTGGGCAGAGGCCAGAGATGCTGCAAACATCCCAGAATGCACAGGATAGCCCCACAACAGAGAAATATCCAGCCCAAGATGTCCACAGTGCGGGTGGAGCAGCTCAGCTCTAGGACACCTGGGGAGAGGGCAGCCTCATGTTGGGGTCCCAGGAGGCCTCTGGGATCCTCTGTACCTGAACTGAGTCCCCGATCAGAAAGCTTCGGAAGGCACTGGCTGTGCACACATCTGGGCAGAGCAAGCACAAATGAGGAGCCTCCTGAGGAGGGTGGGCCGCGGGCCTGAGGTGGGAGCGAGTGGTCCAGGAGACAGCAGAGGGAGGAGGTCAGTCAGGGAGGGAGCCATAGCTGAAGTAAGGGGTTGGAATTTATGCCAAGCACAATCAGAAGCCACTGGAAGGCCAAAAATTGTGAGATTATAGGTGGCTTTTTATCTCCTTTTTGCTTAACTGTATTTTATGACTGTTATGGGCTGAATCACGTCTCCCCTAAAACTCATATGTTGAAACCCGCACTCCAGTCCCTCCGAATGTGACTGGACTGGGAGACGCGGCCTTTAAAGAGGGGGTTCAGTTAAACGAGGTCACGTGGGAGCGCCCGGACCCAATGAACGGTGTCCTTATAAGAGCGGGACATCAGGACACAGACTTGCACAGAGGGAAGACGGCCACGTACCAGCCCAGGAGAGGAAGCCAGCCCTGCCCACACCCTGATCTTGGGCTTCCAGCCTCCAGAGCCGTGAGGAACAAACGTCTGCTGTCCAAGCTGCCCAGGCTGTGTTGCTTTGTCACGACCGCCCTGGCAGGCTAACACAGCGACGACCCTCCAACGAGAGGAACACGGGTGTGCAAACACACAATTAAAGAAACAACAGGAAAACTTCTTTGAAAAGAATAACCCAAGCAGACATTGCCAACATGTTTGAGACTCCAGGTAGAAATAAAATCTCTTTAAAAACCAGCCGGAAGAAGAGAGAAATCATTTTAAAGAAACATGGGTACCCCAAGAAGAACAGAAGTAGGACATGTCAATGGCATCCAGCCCCAAAAGGCCAGACACACTACTGCTGTGGCGAAGGCTGTGCGATCTCAGGACGCCCACTTCAAGGGGTTCAGTCTAGAGAAATGCCCACAGGGCAGCGGGGACCATCGACCTGCCTCCTTCCGATGAGTGTTCAAAACTGCTCTGGAAACACCAGCGAGTTTCCAAGTCATGAGAGGGCTGGCATCACAGCAACAAAGAAAGGGCAGGAGGGAGAGGGAAAGAAGGGAGGAGGGAAGAAGGGAGGGAGAGACAGAGCGAGGGAGGAGGGAGGAAGACAAAGACATAAGTGACTCAAATGTCTAGCAGACAAGTTTCAAAATGGCCACTGAGGGTAGATGCCAAAATAGAAAAGAGGGGTTTTAAGGAAAATATATAATAAAATATATAAAACGGACTGAAGAGGGAAAATATTTAATAACAGGAAAATACATAATAAAATATATAAAATGGGCAAAGGAGGTGTATGTTAGCACGTTCGGATGTGTTCAGAGCAGTTCAGCATGTCTGTGGACTGCAGACACACACTGTGCCGGTCCCTCAGTGTCCCGGTATGAAGGGACTGTGGGGCAGACCACAGCTATCCCCTGAATCCTGGCCCCGAATCCCCAGCTGGGGAATCCAGCTGTGGAGCTGCCTTACCTGGACCTCAGAAGGAAGCTCACCTGTGTCTTCTCTGCAATGCCATCTGACCTGCATAGACTGGGCTAGAGCAGACTGTTAGAATTTTCTTTATCTAGACTCATCCACTGCAGTCATTTCTCTGCGAGCTTGTGAGAAACCGTGCTCTCAGCCAACGCCCCTCAGCAGAGCCCTGAGCAAACGGTCCACGATCCTCCCTGTCAGGCCTCACTTCTCAGTCTGACAAACGCTTCCCGGTCTGAACTCCCTGTGGTGAGGATCGCTCCCCCAAAATTCCCAGGGCGGTGTGGGGGCGGGGGGGTCCAGCTGCGGCTAGGAGGTTTGAAATGGAGTGGATACCAGCTGAGTATGTGCAAGCTGTTTGACCAGGTGGCCTGGCTGGGAGGCGGTCACCCTCAGACAGAGGGTGGGTGATGGGAGCTCTGTGTGAACTTCTCTGAGAGAGACCTGGAAGTGCCGGGGAGGGATGAAGACACCCCTTGTGTCAGAGCCAAAGACACCACGTGGTGGGGACTGGCTGCGTCGTCACTTAGGAGAAAGCAGAGTGCAAGAACCGAGGGAACACGACTTGGAGGAATCCTGAACGCAGGCCCGGGGTCCTTGGGTGGGCCGCCTTTGAAGAGGGCCCACCACGATGCCCAGCTCCTGGTGGACACACCCTGCTGCAAACCTTGTGCTGGGCACAGGCTGGACTGAGTGACTTGCTCTATGACTAGGTTACAAAAGGCTATGACTTCCATCTTGCAGCTCGCTTGTGCGCTCTCTCTCTCTCGTAGGCTTTGATGACGAAGCTGCCACGCTGGAGACGCCCACGTAGTAAGGAACTGTGGGTGGCCTCCAGCCAATAGCCAGCAAGGAACTGAGGTCCTCACTCCACAGCCTAGGAGGAACAGAGTCCTGCAGACACCCACCCACCAAGCCCGGAAGTGGATCCTGCCTCAGTTGAACCTCCATGATGGGTCTGTGTGGGAGCAGGCCAACACCTTACTTCTCTGCTCATAACTCCCTGACTACATTCATGTCTGGATCCAGGACTGGCACCTGCCCCAGGCCTGGCGAATCAGAACTTGGATTCTCCATGGCCTCAGTTCACGGTGTGCACTTGCCCAAAGCCTGGAAGAATGGGTCCCCTGTGTCACAATGATTGGTCCAGATTCTTGTATGTGATCCAAGTTCTGGTAATAAGAGTCATTTAGGGCATGTTTGCTTTAGTTGTTATGACAGAAATTTCTTTTTCTGGTGTTTTAGAGAGGATGCAGAATAAGCCTAAACCTCCTAGCATCTGTTTCCCAATCACAAGCCTGTCTGATAAAAGAGCCAACATGGAGGAAAGAGGACTTGAGAAGGAAAGAATGAGGCTAAGTTCCGATGGCATTATTAAAGTACCTGGATCCAGCTGTGCCTGAAAGTAGCCTTTTCAGTCACATAATTCAATAAATTTCCATTCTCTTGCTTACACCAGTTTGAATTAAATTTGATTATCTTGCTTAATTAAATAATACATAGAGGATTTAGTTAATAAAACAGCCCATCTCATTTTCCTTATCCTTGAGGCAAGACAACAAAAAGATGTAAATATATATATTACCGATGATTAAGTTAATATTGCTGTATTTATGACAGCATTTTGAATGACACAGGTTCTCTGTGCTTCCATAGAAGAGGAACATTTTGGGCAGTGATGTTCGTGTTACCCCATAGACAGAAGGACTCACCAAGATGCCAATTTATTTGGTATTTTTAGCTGTCAGATTCTTGGTGCCACTGACCCCCTTTGAGACTTCTACAACTGGTAGTCTGAAGGTCCTGTTTGGTTCCCTGCCTCAGCCTGCACAATGTCTTCAAGAGAGTGACAAGGTCATCAGCAGTTCTTTACAATTCTCAATCGCTTAGATAAAAGTGAGTTGTGGGACGGTTTCTTTAGCACAAAGAACGAGCAGTGAGTGGCTCTATTTACTGTAGATAAGCATAAAACAACGGGTTTTATGGTTAAGAACATAAAATATAATGTTTCTTACTCAGCCACTCCAGGCCACTGCACTGACAGCCATAGAGCAGGCAGAGATGTGAACACATAAAGTGGGAAGTCTGGACCAGGCCGGCTGTGTGGTGGCTCTCTGCCCCGGGGGATCTGGCATGGTGTGTGGTCCAGGAGCTCTCCAGTTACACAGCCTCCCCCGATTCCGACAAGTCCCCAGGGGGCACATCCTTTGTAAAGCTTCCCAGGGCTTCCCCCAGACCCCTACTCTGGGCTGAGAATCAAAGCTGTGAATTGCCCTTCCTGTTGGGAAGTCTCATCTCCCAGGATCTGGTCAGAGGAGGCCCTGACCTTAACCTACAAATACCTTATCTTCAAAAGGAAAATAGTGCCACGATTATCAAAGTAAGTAATACGTTCATTACAGAAGATATTCAAATACCAAAGGCAGAAAGAAGAAAACAGCCCATGTGTACCCTGGCCGGCTACTGCCGGCATCACACGCTGGCCAGCAGGCCCCACTCCAGACGTCCGGAATCGGAATCTGCATTTTGACCAGACCCCAGCAGAACGTGCGCATACTCAAGTCTGAGAGGCCCAGAGCTGGATAATCCCACGCTACATCTGAGTGTATTTCCTTGTAGTCTCCCATATGTTTATCAAAGTTGGGATTAATATCGAATAATCAATATTGCAATCACTCACCTTTAAAATGTTATTTGAAGTGTTCTGCTTCTCTCCCTTAATCGCACACTCTGTCCACCATCACATTTGATTGCTCTGGGGGCTTTCACAAAACCCAGCTTCTCCATTCGTGTGAGGAATAAACCGCCAGGCGGCACACAAGGGGTTAACGCCTGCATCCGCGTTGATGCCCGTCTGCAGGCGCTGTGGCCACGCCAGCCAAGCACGGATTTTGCAATGTTTGCCGTGTGTTTGCTTCATGTTGAAAGATGGACTGAATGGAGATTTCTTTTTGTTTGCACGTATCTGCGTGTGTGAGTGTGTGTGTGTGTGGGGGGGGGGGGGGTCTCCGCGTCCTGTCTCCGTGTGTGGCCTCCTCCGGGTGAAAGCCCAGTGTTCCCGCTGTGCTTATCCTGAAGGCTTTCCAAACCTCCCTGCCCGCCGCCCGATGGGGAGACAAACAGCAGGGAGGCGCGAGGCGACGGGGGCTGCTCCTGTTCAAGGAAAACGAGGGCGCCCTCATTTTTAAAGCCCTCTTTTACAACGCCGGTTTCTTTTTAGACGCACAGTTTTGGAAGGTGCCCAAAGCACTGTGTAGAGCGTCCCCACCTTCTCCAACAGAGCTGGGCATGCAGAAGAGGTGGCTGCTGCGGCTCGCGAGCAGCGCGAAAGCAGGGGAGGCTGGAGGGGGACGGGGCGGACGGTGCTCAGCAGTGGCAGACGGACCCAGGACTGGACACTGGGCCACAACGAGGGTGAGGAGAGGGTGCAAGTGTGTCCACTCGTGCCCGGGGGCCGTCCACCCCCCCGGCTACTCCCCCGCAAGAATAATTTGGCCTCTGTCTCGCGCTCCCGCGCCCCGGGAGCCGCTTCTCTCCGCCTCGCGCCCTCCCCGCGTGTGCGCCCTGGGCTGCCGTGCCCGGCACCCTGCCAGCCGACGCTCCGCGCTGCCCGCCAGGGCGACCCCCAGCACGGCGCCCCCCCGCGGCCGCGCCCCTGCCCGGACTCGCCGTGGCCGGCTAGGCGCCGCAGCCCTCCCGCACAGCCCCTCCGCGTGCGGCCCTCCCACCCTCCGCCCGCCCCACCCACGACCCCGTGCTCCAGGGAAGGCGCCCAGTGCCGGCAGTCCCTGCTCGCGGCTCGTAAGCTTTGCACTCAGAGGCCGAGCGCCCCGGGGAGCGGGCTGTGGGCCCGACCGGCCTGCGCGCCGAGCAGCAGCAGCCAGGCCGTGCCCGGCGTCGGGCGCGCAGAGCAGGTCCTCGGGCCCCCGCGCGGCCGGCCGGCCCGGGAGCTCCCGGATCCTGTTCTCCGTGGGGACCGGCGGGCAGCGGAATTCTCAGGGCTCCACGTGGTTTGTCACACGTGGCCTTCGGAGTCAGACAACTCCCAGAGGTGCTAGAAAAACGCAGCAGCCCGGCCGCCTGGGGGACAGCCATCGCTGGCGTTTTCCCAGCCTCAGCTGAATTCAAACCCCTGAACTCTTGTATTTTCTCCAGCTTTCCTAGCTAACAGGACTAGATGCCTTTAAAATAAACATTTTAAAATAATATTTCAAAACCTAGCATTCTTTGTTTTTCTCTCTGCGAAGGCCAGTCCATCCCAGTTTCTCCATATCTTGCTGTGGGGAGAGGGTGGGTGAGGGACAGGAGAGGTGTACCGTGCTCCCTAGGAAGAGCATCCGGCGTGAAGGAAACGAAAGATCCGTGCTCAGGCGGCTAAGTCACCATCTCTCTGTTTCCTCGGTTTCCCCCTCTGGAGAATGGAAGGATAATATTATAGGCTCAATTACCTTGCAAGGTGGTTTTATGAGTCAAATTGGCTAGAGTGTGTAAGAGCATTTATTCACCACAAAGTGCTACACAAATGTGAGTTACTGTGCTTTAAAAAATCATTCCAAAGACGTGTGAAGTGTTCTGGAAGCCTAGCTGTCCAGAGCCCTGGACATCTGGGTCGTGCATGACGGGCCCCCACAGGCCCCAGCTGCTTTCTCGAGGGCTCAGCTTTTGGGGGACTTCCAGCAGCAAATACGGGCAAATAAGGGCAGTGAGAGCTCCAGAAACGTGTTCTCCATTTACCTGCTTCTTTGTCTTAAACCATCACAGGATGCAGGAGGCATTGGAGCAGGATTGACATAGCTTTGAGCCTGGCTGTGTCACTTAACTGGTCTGAGACAAGTTGCTTAGCTTCCCTGAGCCCCGTTTCCTCATCTGTGAAGCAGATGTGATAACAACCATCCAGAACTTTAGAGTGCTTGTGAGGTTAGAAGACGATGCCTGCACATTGCCTGTGAGGACGGTATCTAGCATGTTGATCAACACGTGTAAGATGATGATGATGGTGATTATTTTAAGGAGTTTGACAGAAAATTCCCACTAACTGGTTCCTTTGCATTAGGTGGTAGGACTTTCTATTGGTCATGCATTCATTTGACAAGCATTTCCTGAATACCTTCTATGGCCCAAACATACCTTTGGGTTCCCTTTAATGAAGAGCTACCGCCCTGACGAAGGAGCACGTGCTACCACAGTCCCAAGAACTCCGGCCACAGTGCTCAAAGGGCAAGTGGACATGGGCACAGGGGGACTCGGGTCAGGGTAGTGGGCGAGGGGGTTGCCTGGGGTGCTGGGCATATGGGAACAGGCCTTTGGCATCTGGAACAGGTTGCAAACATGGTAAAAATGATCTGGAATACCGCTGTATCCAGTTACGGCATAGACAGCAATAGCAGAGAGACTCAGAAATACGGTGGCTGAACCCCCACAGACACTTCGTTCTTTCTTCCTCAGAGACAGGGAGGGCAATCCAGGGCTGCAGTGGTGGCCCGATGGCAGCAGGGACCTGGGGCCTCTGGGCCTTGTTATTCTGCCTTCTCCTAGGTGTTCGTCTGGCCCATTTGGCTCCCTGACACGTTTGATGGCATTGCATTCCATCCAGGGGGCGGGAGGAGAGGGCATGACCACCCTCTTTAAGGACATGACCTGAAGTCAGACATATTCCCACCATAACTTAGTCATGTGACCACAGCTCACAAGGGGGACTGGGAAATGTAGTCTTAATACTAAGTGGCCACGTGACCGGCTAAAATTTGGAGATTCTATTACTACAGAAAGAAGAGGATCTTGGGGGACCTCTAGCCATCTGGGGGGAGGTTGGGAGGGATCGCAACATAGTAGACACACAACAGATGAACGCAGTTTTGCCAAATAAGGGAGAGTTGGTAATGAGAAGGCAGGAACGATGGCTGAGGGCCTGGCGAAGCTGAACACCTGACCACTGAGGGCTGGGTGGTTGTAAAGAGGGCAGTGTGGTAGGAGGCTAGCCATGACAGGGAGATGTGACATTCACGCAGGAGGCTGCAGTGTGGTAGGCACCCTGATCACGTGGAATTGTAGAAGAAAGCATGATTCAGGGACTGGGGCATCATGACCTCAGTGCCTTTTCTGGGACAGCGTGTGCTGTCTGGGATTTTTCTCTGCTACTTTGAATCATTCGCTCATTCAGTATAGGGTCACTTTCCTGACTTTCCACTCATGTTTCTACTTTCTTATACAAATTCGTTCCACTGATCACTTCTGCCTATGGTCTGGATGTCACGGTATCAACAAGGAAAGAAGTCAGAATGGACTAAGGACTTCCTGAAATGTTTTAGATGCTGTCTCACCTTGGTTGAGAAGGATGGATGTAATCATCTTTCATGATCTTCTCCAAATTTACAATCCTGAGATCTCCAATTGAGTTGCTGAAAACTGAAATTTAAAAAGTCAGACAGATTTGAACTTGTGTGAAACAATGTAGGAAAGGCATATCAGTATATTTTAAAAAATTTTTATGGTTTCCATCTTCATCCTCATTTTCGCCAACATGCTAAAAGCGATCCTTATAAATATGTGATTCTTGTGTTTATTATGGTTTGGATTTTTGTGCCAAGAATACGCATGACAGGGATGCCATTCTTCCCAGCTAAATGCATCTGAACACATGTTCCTGCATTCTCATCTGTTTCTCTGTGGAGAAAACATGCCCGAACCAACAGCATGTTTGGAGCAGTATCTTATGATTTCAACAGCCCCCGCTCTGTGAGCCACCGAATGGCATTCATGGAGGGCATTCTGTGCTCTCAGCTTGAACCTTGCTTTCCAGAGACATGGCTCTTCAGCTCTGACACGGATGGCCAGCATGGATGGTGTTTCCAGGGTGCCCACAAGGATTGCTAGAGCCTCCAAGACTTGGAGGAAGAGAAACATGCTGATTGTTCCTGTGCAAACTTCACTTTTATCTGCCAAGAAGCAATATAGCTTATTGTATTACAGGAGAACGTGTGCTTACCATATTAGTCCTCAGGCAGCACAGACTTATCAAGAAGTCTCCGGGAGCAAGGGATATAAAATAAGTCACCTGGGTTTTGGTTCAGCTTTGTCACTCATAAAACCTTGCTAGGTTATTGTAGCTGCATGTGTCAGACACCTGTGTGTTGCCAAGGATAAAGGGCCTGGATGTGATAGGCATGTACACACATCATTGCAATATACTGTGTGAGTTCTAGATTGGAAGCTATAGGGCCACACCCAAGTTAGGCACCAAAGGTGGGTTTTGGTGCTCTAGAGCAAAGCCCTCTACATTCCGGCATTTTGGGGTCCAAAAGAATAAAGGCAGGCTCCCCTGCCTTCATCCTCAAGTGAAACTGTCCGTGAAAGCATGTCAATGGCACCAACGTTGACAATGTAAATGTAAAAACAATAGAGGTTGAGACGACAGAACGGCATGGGAGAAGTGGGAAGACTTGCAGGTAGGTGGGCTGATGACCTCATCTTACAAAGCGGGGAGACAAGAGATCTCATTTTTAGTTGGTGGAAAAAGAGCTAACTGAATAAATAATACCACATTTACAAACACAAATAATAGAGAAACCAAAATAGTGATGCACCTTTATAGGCAGGAGGAATGAAGGAGAAGTGGAGGAGGGGGATGGTGTCTAAAATGGATAAATGGGGAAAGAAGAGGACCATTATTTAGAGATGGGAAGTAAGCACTTAAAAGAGTTAAAAGTGTGCCGCTGAGGAGCTCAGCTGGGGCTGGGGAGGCATTCGGTGTGTCACTTGCTCTTCATTATAAGCCCCTCTGTGCTGTTTGATTTTTCAGTCCTTTTGTTAGGACCATTTGTTAGAATTAGGTTCAGTTGCAAGTGACAGAACACTCAAAATAACAGTCACATAAACAAGAACAATTTTTCTTTTCCTCTTGTGTAAATTCCATCCAGGGGTATGCAGTCCAGGGCTGCTGTGGTGGCTCTGATCCACAGAGTCCTCAGGGCCACTGACTCCATCCAGCTCACGACTCCACAGTGCCATCCCTAGGCTGTGGGCTTTGTCTTTGTGGTCCAAAATGGTGACATCCAGGTTCCAGGCAGCAGAATGGAGGAAGGGATGAAAAAGAGGGCCAACCAGGTATAGGCACTGGCATCCTGCCTCTTAGGACATGGTCCTGGGAACTGTCACATGACACTTCCCTGTACATTTTATTGGTCAGAACTTAGTCACATGGCTACACCTAGCTGCAAAATTTGTACACATTTCTATATAATTCTATTACCATGGAAAAAGAGGAGAATATATGTTGTGGGACATTTAGCCATCCCAGCTACACTCACCTTGATGTAAATAACAGAATCACAAGCATTTACCAATAGAGTTGTGTTTTCATAAGAAAGTGCTGGGAATGAAAACATCAAAAAACAGAATGATGAAAGGAGAGAGGGATGGATGGGTGAATTGATGTGTGATAAAGCACATCTAGTGGAATGATCATTATAAAATCTAGGTGGTGGGTGTGTTCATGCCACAATTTTTCAATTTCTCTTTGTATTTGAAAATTTTCATAATAAAATGGGAGAAAATATCGATTATTTTTGAA